TTTTATTTTTCTATAAATCAAACAAGTGAAATCCCTTAAATTTGAAATGTTAAATCTTTAATGCTCTAGTCTGTTCCACCGTGAAATAGAAATACATTGAAGGGATGCATCTTTGCTATTGCAAAGCGCAGTAGAGGCTGAAGTTGCTGGTGATGGAGCAGGAGCCTGTCAGGTACATCAGGGTCATCATCTGCAGGTGCAGGGAGAGACTGAAATTAAAAAAAATAAATCCATTAATTAGTTTATTAGTGGAGATTTTAAAAAGCAGGAGAATTTTTTCCTATTATTCCTATTCCGAAAATATGCGAGACTGAGATCTTCTACCTGTAAAGTTTGTGGGGGAACAGAAGGCAGAAATAATCAGCTTATTTCTCTGGGTACAGGTAGGTGTTTCCAGTGCTAATACATCAGCCTCAAATATAAAACGTTCAAATTATCTTCTTTTTCTTTATGAATCCAGTGCACTGAAGATTGCATGTAATGGAAATATTTTAATTAAATTCCAATTCCAATCCACAGAGAGCTTTATACAAATAATTTAATACGTTTTTGCAAATTATTGCATATAAGATGTCTGCCATTGTTTTCTAAATGAAAGTAAAAACACCGATTGTGTTATTTGCCGTGTGCACATAGATATAACCTATGTGCTCATGGCTAACAAAAACACAAGGTTTGGTAAAACTTGGAGGAGAGGCTGAATTTTAAATTGCAAACTGACATATTTCAGTGATCGCCACCAAATGAGAAGCTAAAAACTATAATTGCAACACCAGGTTAATGTACCTAATTTAAGTTTCCCTGCAAACTTTTAATACAAACCTCCAGCTAAAAGATGCCTGATTAAAGCAACTTTCTGCTGCCCTCGTCTGTGGAGCTGAGGCCCAGCCACACATTCCTTCGCTTGGGTGCCTGAGAAAGAAAACAAAATAATACTTTTACATTTATTTTTGTTAGCCTTTTCTCAATTTCTCACAGTGGACTGCACAACCTCTGCTTTGCTGACTGTTTCTGTCCCTTCTGAGTGTGTTTTTGGAAGATGAGTACGGTCAGAAAGTTGTAGGTATTGGACTGATGGGAAGGGACCTTCTTCCCCCTTGTTGTGTTTTTACAAAGGACTCCATGTGCTTTGAGCAGGTCTGGCCCCAAACTGGTTCTTTTGCAAGATCAAAAATACAAGTTAATGCCCTTGGCTTTTCCTCCATTTGCATTGGCTTTGCATCTTCTATTCTTTCAAGCTCTGATTTCTCTTGTGCTGAGGTAGTTCCAGCTGTGGGGTATTACTACTCTGGATGCTTTCTTCTAGGTGACCGCAGCCTTCTCCAAGAGACAGTCCCTATCTGGCCCAAACCCAGGGTCCCACCTCACTGCACAGAGCCTTATAGCGAGGTTTTGCCCAAAGTGCTGGCTTTAGGGAACAGGAATTTACCCTCTACCTCTCGGAAGCAATGAGATAAAACCCTCCTATATGGTGCTTTTACATGAGACCAGTCAAGCATCCAGCTGTGATGGGTCTTTGCTATGGTTTTCGTAGCACCTCAACTGTATTTGAAAAAGGTGTTCAAAGAGAGAAGCATGAGTAGAAGTCAAGTGAGGGTGAATCTCTGCTGCTCTCTGCTCTGGAGCCCTGGTGTGCTGTCAAAAGGAGAGGCAGTGTTAAGCAACTAAAAGGTGTTGTCAGAAAAAAACCCCAACTGTTTCCTTCTCCTGACCACAGTGCAGCTGCAAGCCTCCAGCCAATGCAGGTGGCAAAGTGTGGGTCTCCAGAGGCTGTGTGCTTGCTTCTTGTCCAGCAAGGCTTCACTGCAGGAATTATTTGCAATGTCTGTGTCACGCCTGGTGTTTCGTTTTGGTGAGGCATGCGTCAGCGTACCATGAGAAAACCCCTTCATACCTTCCACACAACAAATGGCTTCTCTGCCTTGTTCCCTCTCCGTCTCAGCGTTGGTAATTGAGTTGCTGAGCTTTTGCTGCAGTTTTGGGAAGTCTCCTTTACCTCTTGCGTTCAGCTTCTTCCACAACATGCTCTGTCTTACCCACAGAAATGCTGTCTGCCTGTAATTAAAGCAACTTTTACCTTCCAGCTTCCTAATGCCCTGCTTCTGTATGCAACATGTTGTTGCCAAGAGCATCTTCACTTGTAGATCGCACTGCCCTCCTTTGCAAATCTTTTCATCCAGTTTCTTGGCTTCAGGATTCTTGGCCTTGGGTCCAGAGCTCTGTCCGGTCCATTTGCTCTTTCAGTTCTCTATTTTACTCTCATCTTTGTGTCTTTTCTGTTCTGTCATCTCTTTCTGCCTTACCTGACTAAACACCCACCAGTGTCTTTCCCACTTTGAAACGTGTGGGTCTGGGGGCTATCTTGATGGAAAGGCGAGGGGGATGCAGTGCAGTGCCACACTGTACTGGAGAAGTCCAAGAGGCTGCCAGAGTGCAGTGCTGTGTGGAGGTCCTCATGGCGATCAAAATGCGCAGCATAATCATGTTAACCCAGCCACAAGACCGGCTTGGTTTAAACTGGCCCCAATGCCATGCTGATGTAGTTG